TCCCAAGCCCATACCATATCGCGACTTAGGGTTTAAGTGTTTAACATGCAAGTGGTTTATATCAAGGAGTCGCCACTAATCGATTTGGGGTGGGCCGATTAGAAACCCAAATAGGGTGATGGGAGAATCACCCTATTCCTACGAACCAGTGATTAACTAAATTCGGGAACTTGGTTACACTAGTTGGATAACTAATGCCCTTTCGGTACCATTTTACCCTATTCATTTCTGAAAACATTTGTCAGGCAATTTGGATTGATTTTAGGACCTTTCTCCTAATATGTGAGGTGATCAAGCGAGTGCATAATCAGGAACGATCAGCAGTCAGGAACACAGCAATTCATGCAGCCTAAGGTTCTAACCCTAACTAAGTCAGATGACATTCAAAAACACAACATTCATGCAATTGTATTAAAAACATGCATAACAATACAACGGTAATAAAAACTAACATGCAAATACTACCGCGCAACCTTAGGTTTGTCTAATTTAAATAAGACAAAAACTTACAAAATAATATCACATTAGATTAAAACAACAACAATATATCACATAAAAAAAAATTCTTTTTTTTTTTTTTTTAAAAAAAAAATAAATAAATAAATAAAAATAAAAAATAAAAATGAAATAAAAAAAAAATAAAATAAAATACGAAATATTTTTTAAATAAAAAAACAAATAAAAAAGAAGAAAGAAAAAGAAAGAAAAGAAAAAAAAATTTTAAAAAATTTTTTTTTTTAAAAAAAAAGCAGTAAAATAAAATAAAATAAAAATAAATAAAAAAAAAGGAATCCGGACCGGGTCGGAACCGACCCGGGTCAACGGATCCGACCCGGTCGTTGACCCGGGTCGGATCGGCTGAACCGGGTCGGCTGGACCGACCCGGGTCAACGGATCCGACCCGGTCGTTGACCCGGGTCGGATCGGCTAAGTGGTCGGCCTATTGGACCGACCCGGTCAACGGATCCGACCCGGTCGTTGACCCGGGTCGGATCGGCTGAACCGGGTCGGCTGGACCGACCCGAGTCAACAGATCCGACCCGGGGCGTTGACCGGGTCGGGTCAACTGAACCGGGTCAGGCCGAACCGGTGGGAGCAGCCCCCGTCGAAGCCAAAAACGGCCTCTCACCGGCCGACCCAGACCGGCGCCGCCCCCAAATCGGCCTCCTGGGAGTAAAACCAAGCCTCTCCACCCACCGGGGTCACCGTCCGACCGCCGTTCGCCGGCCGGCGACCAAAACAAAAACCGGTTTCATTGAGGACTTTTGTCGAACAGATGGTGTGCGCTTCCAAAAACAACAAATCCTGACCTGTTCCGGCGAACCGGAGGATTCAGGCGAATCAACCTACCTTCGGTGAGGACACACGGACGGCGGGGGATGACGGTATGGGCCGGGATTCGCGCGAAACGGCCGGCGCGAGTCCCGGCCATACCGAGCAGAAAAACAGAGCAAAACAGAGGCGGTTCGGGCCGGACTGAGAGCTCACCGTCGACGGCGCGTCTGGGGCTTTCCGGTTGATCGGGGGGCGACGGCGACGCGGCTGGGAACCTGCAAAAACCGACTTTCCCTTCTTTCTCTCTCAATTTTCTCTCTTTCTCTCTCAATTTTTCTCTCTCTGTTTTGCCGACCGGGGCTCTCTCTCTCCCTTTGGCTATTTATAGCCGGACGACGGTGCCCCTCTGCTCCGTTACGTCTGTAATGACGACGGTCTGCACCGGCCTACTCTGGCACGCGACTTTCGCGGCCATTTAGGCCGGTGCAGAGCGAGGGATCGGCTCGGTGAGGCGCAGAGCGGACGAACAGGAGGCGAGAGGGAGGAGGAGATAAGGGAAGCCGGGACAACGGGGAGGACGGGACTGGCAATTAATGCCAGTCCCGTCGGCGTGCTCTCTCGGCCTTCCTCTGGCCAGATAGCGACGGCGAGGAGCGGCGCCGCCGTGCGTCGGCGTGACGTCGCGAACAGGGAAGAACAGGGGCGAGAGAGCGACCGGCGAGGGGGAAGAAGAAGAAAGGGCTGGGCCGGGCCAGGCCCAGCCGTGCGGGGGGGAAGAAAAAGAAAGAAAAAAAAAGAATGGGCCGGGGCCCAGGAGGGGGGAAGAAAAGGAAAAAGAAAAGGGCCGGGTCGGCCCAGCCCCGACCCGGCCCGAAATTTTATTTTATTTTTTTTTTTTTTTTTAATTTTTGTTTAAAATTTAAGAAAATATGCTCTAATAGGCCCTATTAATGCACATATGCCTAATGTCTATATGCAATGCATTTAAATAGAAATATTTTTTTGTTTTAGGAATTAAAGAAAATTAATTCCTAAATTTTGTGCAATTAATTTTGGGCAATTTAAAAATAGGTGTCAACAAATAGTTAATATATTATAGTTGATCTATAACTTATTGACTTAAGTTTTTTAGCAAATATATATGGATCTAATTGGATATGTTGATGAGCTTGAACTCGGGCTTTCTTGGCGATCTACCCATGTGAAGGTATTGGACTTCTCAGGTGCCCTTCCAATGAAGGGGTGGGCTGATTCTCGTTATTTCTTTCCTATTTTTACTTTTGGCCATGTGTTTTAGAGTTACCTGTGAGTAACTTTCCAGGAATGTCACCCACCAATCAAGGGCTAGTAGGAGGAAATTGCATTTATATTTTGAGGTTGGGTGGTGATTCTATTATGGCCTCAATTCTTTACGCCAAACCATTATTTAGATCATTTCATAATTTCATCAGCTCGCTTTTTGATAGAGTGAATAACTTTGGCGTCTATGCATTTGAAAATTAGTGTCAGTTTTTTTTTTTTTTGGTCGATAATGCATGAAATTTCGTTAACACAGCATAAGTCTGTTTACATCAAAAACTAATATATCCAACATAGATTGCGAGAGATAAAGCAACCAATTCGGGGGAAGTTCTTTTTTCTGTTTTGCCTTGACCACCTAATCTGCAAGTTGATTTGCTTCTGTCGGACAGTAGGACAAACTCATCCAATTTAGTTGGGCCAGCTTTGATCTGCATTTGTCCATCCAGGACCATATGTTTCGTGGACTTTGCTCCCCTTGAACTAGGCACTGAATGAGCAAAGTACAGTCGGTATGTACTTCCACTTTGCTCCCACATGGGATTTCTCTTCCCAGCTTTTCTTCCACAAAGCGCAAGCCATGGAGAAGAGGTAGGGCTTCACTTGCTTCGACCGATCCAGCATGAACGGAGTGCACAAACCCATCGATCATTGTTCCTCTATAGTCGCGAACCACCCCAGCCACCGCTAAGTCCAACAATCCTTCCGATTTTGAGCCATCCAGGTTAAGCTTTAGAGATCCCCTCGCCTGCAGCTTCCAAGTAAGATCTGAACCATTTCTGTGTTCAGTTCTGTTTGTTTTGCATTAATTCCATCTCTAAAAGCTTGCCTGCTCTGTGAGTGCGATGTCTATAGTTCAGTTTGGTTCTGGCCATCGCGAGTTGAAGACGAAGGCATTTCGCGATTTCCAAATCGACCATAGTATTCCGACTATCTCCTCAACTGTCACCAGGTATGTGTTTGATTCCAAAACTTGTGAGACCCATTTATCTAGGCGTGTGATTGATAGGCTCGAATATGGCAGATTTAGCGTTGGATCCGCCCAAATGGAAGCTGTCCATGGGCAAAGGAGTAGGATATGCTTGACTTTTTCCGGTACCTGTTTGCATAAGGGGCATAAGGGGTCAAGTACGATCTTTCTCTTGTACAAATTTTCTCTAGTTGGTAAGGCATTTTGGCATGCACTCCATAGGAATATCCGAATCTTGGGGGGAGTGTTTAATTTCCACAGAGTATTCCAGAAAGATCTTGGTACTTGAAATGAGGTGGAGGGTAACGCAAATTGTTGTTGTGGACTTACTAGACGTAGTTTGTTGTAAGCACTTTTAACTGTGCATTCCCCAGTTTTGTTCCTTGTCCGGATCATCTTGTCTTCCTCGGTATCACTGTTGAGGGGAATAGCTAAGATTTCGCTAACAACATCCTCTTCAAAAAAAGACCTCAATTTTTGTTCATTCCATGATCTATTTTCCTAGTTGATCAGTTCATCCACTTTCTGGGGTTCGCCGTGGTTCACCGATCCATTAATAGTTCCCATTTCTAGCCACCTATCTTCTCTTATTTTGATCGATTTTTCATTTCCCACATTCCATCTCATGTCCCCCTGAATAGAATTCCTTCCAACTAGCATACTTTGCCATCCCCACGACGGACGTGACCCCTTTTTTGCACTCCAAAAATCAACTTTAGGGAAGTATAAGCCTTTGAACAGCCTGCTCCAAAGAGCCGAAGAGGATTGAGAGAGCCACCATGCCTGTTTTCCCAACATCGCCTTATTGAATGATATAAGGTCACGAAAGCCCATACCACCACTGTCTTTCCTTGTCTTGAGGATGTCCCATTTCTTCCAATGTAGCCCGCTAGTCGATTCATTCTGTTTCCACCAAAAGGATGCTATCCTTTGCTCAATCGCTCTACACACCAAGCATGGAATTTTGAATATGGACATGGCATATTGCGGCAAGGCTTGTACTACAGTGTCAATTAAATTGTTAGATGAATTGCTGTGATTATTCTTTTAAAGGCTCTATTGCTCATCAGTGAATCAAGTTCTTTTTTTAACAACAGAAAAAGGGAAAATTTTCTAAGCCCATTTCAAGCCATGGATCGGCAGAGTGAAGGGGCTAAAGTAGCGCCTAGAAATTAGAATTAAAAGGAACTCGAAGTTTCACGACAAGAACCACATACACATTGTTTTATTAGACTGATCTTACACAAGGACAAGGAAAACACATGAAAAGGCACCAGCTGCTCAGATTACAACAGATTGATAACTTCGACAAAACAAGAAAACATCAGAGTTGCTGGACACGGAGAGAGAGAGAGAGAAGATTATGACTTATTCTGGGCTTTTAGTGATGTCACAAACTCCATATATCACTTCATAAACGCATTTGATATGCTGGACTTGGTGTGTCAAGCATTTATCACTCAAGTTGGACCAGCTTCTCGAAAGTGTTCATGGCCGAAAGTGGCAAACCCAGCACCACCACAATGCCCTTCCTCTCACTCTCATCCCTCATAAATAGACAACCCGGCGGCAGGTCACCGGTGCCAAAATTCCTTGGCTTCCCCCATCCAAAGTCCGTGGAGCCATAATCCAACCTTTGCCATGAAACCAAAACTAGCGAGCTCAACGAGAAAAGGTCAAATTGATGCACGTCCAACGAGTCTATGCATGACCACACGTAGTCCTCGTTCACCCTCTCGATCGCCTTCTTTATTCTCCCCGCGGTGGAAGAGAAGGGCTCATCGATTAACTCTCCTGCGGTGCAGAGACAGCAAGCTTCGACCAAAGCATTCCCAAAGTATCTGGGTATCGGCGGTTTCAGCTTAGACCTGAAATCAACCGGAACAAGAAGTTTTGACAGTTGGTGCGGTTTTAAATCGAGTGCCTTGCTTCGAGCCCGCCAAACTAGGGCTCCAAGTGCAACGAAGCTGGAGCAACTGCTTATTACCTGTTGTTCATGTTCAATTGCGAGTATTTTCAATATTTTGAAGTAAATCTCTAATCGATGTTCAAGAAATAATATGATTGTGTATATTTTAGAAATAAATGTTTAAATACAATTGTATATCTCTATATACAGATTCTATTTTGAAATATCTTTATATAATTAGAGAATGATAAAAAAAAAATTGTGGCAAGTATAATTCCATCTACTTCACAATTGATCTGAACAAAGTCCTGTATATTATTTTGAGTTGAGGATTATGACCAAGTTTTTTAAAGGTTTAAGGGTTAATACCACAAAAAAACTCCAAACTGGTATACTTGTGTCACACTTACCCAAAATTAATTTATGTGTCACAAAAACTCCTAAATCGATACACTTCTACCATATTTACCTCAAATTAATTTTTGTGTCACAAAAAATCTCAAATTGGTAGATCTGTACCACATTTACCCCAAACTGATATATACCCATGTCACATTAACTTTAATTGTGATAAAAATGGGATTTTTTGGGGGTAAATATGTCACAGGTGCATCAATTTAAGGTAAATGTGGCTCGAGTATATCAATTTGGGATTTTTTGTAAATCAATATTAGTTTGGAGTAAATGTGACACATGTGTACCAATTTGAGGTAAATGTGGCACACGTGTATCAGTTCAAGAATTGTGACATAAAAATTAGTTGAGGGTAAATATGGCACAGGTGTACCAATTTGTGATTTTTTATGATATTAACCCAAAGTTTAAAGTGTAGGGGTACCTATTATGGCATACTATCTCCCATTTGACTAATATTTGACAAATCAATAATATAAAAGGATAAAACAAAATCCATCATCACAAAATGTACGGGAAAATTACTAAAAAAGTCCTAAACATGTTGTACTTGTGCCAATTTAGTCCTAAATCTTTCAATTATGCCAATTTAGTCTTAAACATTTTCACGTTTTGCAAATTGATTCAATCGGCCAATTTTGGCTAGAAATCACTACCGTGGCCACTGACCATCCTATGTGGCACGGTCGGTACTGACATTAACAGTTTTTTCAAATTTTTTTAATGTTTTTTTCGAATTTTTTTTATTTTTCCTTTTTTTGTCCTTTTATATTTTCTTTTCTTCACTTTTTCTTCATTCTTTTCTTTTTCTTTTTTTTTGTTTCCCATTGTGGCCAATGAGGGTCGCAACCCTCGTACAAATCTGGGCAAGGCCATTGTGGCAGCAGGCAAGACCATGGTCGCCTTCGCCCGTGGCCGACGAGGCGACCTTCCCGCAGCCACGCACGGCTCACCCAGACCATCTCAAGGTGTGGTCACGGGCGAAGGCGGCCATGGCCTCGCCAGCCGCAGGAGAGGCTTCCTTCACCCGTAGCCGCGATGGCCTCGCTCAATGGCCGGCGAGCTCCGACAATCCTCGTTGGCCAGAATGGGATACAAAAGACGAAAAGAAGGAAGGAAAAGTGAGAAAAGGAAAAATAAAAGAAAAATAAAAAATTTAAATAAAAATATATTAAAATATTGTCAACGTCAGCGCCGTCGTGCCACATAAGACGGCTGATGTTCACGTCAGCAATTTTCAGCCAAAATTAGCCGGATAGACTCAATTGGCAAAACATGAAAATGTTTAGAACTAAATTGGCACAATTAAAAAATTTACGACTACAACAATGAACAATGTGTCCAATAATTAACTTGAACTGTAAATAGATTCAAAAAGAATGAGCAACCAACATTTAAATATTCTAGGAAGTATAGTCTGACCCCCGTGCAGTACATGAACAGGCATCTTGTTAGTAAGTGGATCTGTATTGTCATTTACAACTAATTAACACGGCAGTCAAAATCAATTTAGTTAAATGAAATGTACTGCTGTATTTGAAAATGCTATAGAGTTATTTATGAGTGATCTTCCGGTAAGTGATGAGGGACCGAAGTACTCTTGCTCATTTGCAACACAATCCCCAGCTTTTAGTATCTTGTATTTACATGATGTGTGTATGAACTGCCACCCCTCCATTATCACAAGACAATTTAGCTGATGATAAAGGATAACTTTTGTATATGTAGCAAAGAACACACAACATCTACCTGTCCATCGGTTGTTGCCATGTTTTTAAGGGTTGCCAGCTTCTCACTGTCGAAGTGGAAAGATTTCCACACGATTTGCTCTTCCTCGTATAATGCCGTCAAGTTTGATACATCACTTACGTGAACAAAGTTGTCGGAAGCATCGGTGATTTGAGGAGGAACCCTTGACTTCATAATGGTTCTATCGTGACAAGGGACGAGGGATAAAGGTCTACCTCTTGCTATTTCAGCCCATGAGTTCATGAAATTCATTCCCGAGGAAGCATCCACCATGCAATGGTTGATTGCGATCCCTAAAGTGAAACCTCCACATCTAAATTGTGTTACCTGTTTAAATTGTCTCCATAGTTACTACTATCCTAGAACCAAATGCAAGAAAATGGAATGTACATGTGTTAATTCTCACATGGCCATTTTCCATGGACCGATTGCATGCATCCGGCTTCCAATGGAAACATTCTATATGATGGTCCCGATGTTGAATATTGTTGGACCCATCAAATTTAACAATGGTGAGCCAAAGTGGATGCATCTATCTTCGTTATAACATCTCAAATTTTTAATCAAAGAGACCCTAGCAAGACGAGACTAAGAAGATTTCTTATGCGGCGGATAAAATCCGTGGGGTATTTTGATGATGATAAGGTTGATATCGATGAATACTATCTATAAGGAGAAGTCATAACGTCTATGGAAAAACTACAAGCTTGTAGGAAGACTTGAAAGTTATCATAGTATATAGAAAATTATGACAATTTTATATTGATTGTAAATAAATCGCTAGTTATTATTTTTCCAGAAAAAGAAAATGTACTACATTGAGAAAAATTAATCACTAAAATATTACTACTTCCTTTGTTTACGAAAAAAGTTCCTAACTACATTGAAAAAAGTTAATTATTGTAAAAACTGACAAGTCAAAGTTTCTGTTGATTATAGAAAGCTGTTTTGATTACAGAAAGTCACATTGAATTTACTAGTTATAAATAAGTCGACACTTACTTATGCGGAAAACTCATTAATTAAGTTGAGAAAGTTGTCAACCAATGATAAACAAAAAGTTATCTTTTCTTACAGTAAAGTCACTAAGTACAACTAGAATGCATGTGGAACATAACATTAACAAATCAAACGAAATTCTAAGTCTACCAAAACGGTATCGCCATTATATTAGACGACAAAGCCAAAGAAAATAAATGGGATAAGTGCACTGAAAGTCCTAAAACTTATCAGGAAAATGCAATTGAGTCCTAAAACTTTCAAAAAGTGTAATCGAGGCCTAAAACTTTCAACTATCACGAAAGTGCAATCGAATCCTAAAACTTTCAAAAAGTACAATCAATGGAAGGACTTGATTAGATCAATTTTATATGTTTTAGGACTTAATTATACTTTTTGAAAGTTTTAGGACTCAATTGCACTTTCATGATAAGTTTTAAGATTTCTAATGCACTTGTCCCAAAATAAAATTGTAAAGTGTTAACCATTACCAGAAAAGGAAGAAAGTGATTGTTCCTAACCTGTGCTGTTAAAAGGGGTGCAACTTCTCGCATATCCTCTGGAAAATCCCTATAAACAAGCTTTTGTAAAACATTAGAATCGAGAAGCCGCTTATCACCCAGATTTACGATGTCGCAATTGGCCGATGCCTCCACAAATGGCACTCCTAACTTCTTCTGGCAATCAACTGCCAACTTCCCCTCAGAGTTTCTAGTTAACCTCCCCGCAAGCGGATAGTAATGAACCAAAACTTTGGACAGAGCTTGCTTAATCACGTCAACAGTGTTCGCCTCGCTCCCATCGAAAGAATAAACCGAGGGGATGAAAAAATCTGCTTGGTCGAGGTTACTCAAGAAGAGGGAACCGCCGGGTGTCTCTTGCTCGGGCAGGATGGCGACAGGGACTGATCTTTCTACCATTAGGGCGTTTTTCGTCTCGGTTTCGAAGGCCTCCATTGGAGAAGTCCGATACTTCGGCACCTATGCTATTGCCCACTCTTAAATAACAAAGATTTGAACGTGTGTCGGGTCAAACATAAGAATACCATGAAAATGGTGGAGAGAGATATTAGAGATGAACATACCCTTAAATTTGATTGGCTTCTCTCTTCCGATCTTGGAAGGTTGCCGTTCCTGCGGGCCGTTTAAATAGACCCGAAGTTTCTATTTTTGGTCTTTAACATATGAAAAATTTTGTAGGTCGGTCGATAGCACCTGAGGAACCCAGAAATGCTAGTAATATAATTTCCCGAGTCTATGATTGCTCGGATGCTTCTTGGAAGTCGCAAGCGCCTGCATTAGCAACAGGGACGAAAAGGAAGTGATTTTTCTAATCGTCGTGTTATGTGGAGATGCTTTTTAAGTTTGTCGTGTTAACCATCCTCTTGCCGAGCTTTGATTCCTTGGGGTGTCTTTTACCGTCCTTCCCCGACATTCAATTTAATTGACAAGTTGGTCATTTCATTTTTTAGATCATTGTCAGCGTGGACTCCTTAAAAAACATAACGTTGTTGTTATTGCTCTTAATTAATGATAAGGAAGAAAAGAACAACAAGAAGAGGTTGAGAGAGTAAGGACAAAATGTGGGGGTGTGACGTGTGGTGGCCCATGGAGGCTCCCATGGCCAATGAAATAAATCAAGGGGCGGAGTTTTTGATAGGGAATAGAGAAGATAAGGAATTGCATTGATTGCTAAAAGTGGAGGCATCAACCTTGAGTTGAGACTCTATTGCCGTTACACGGAACATGACTAGAGATGACCGGATTGTCATGTCAGATTAATTCGGTGAGACTTGGCCAAAAAAATTTGACTGTATTTTTTTTCAAAGATTACATTGATTCAATTAAAAGGTTCAGGACTTGATTGATTTCCACACAATAAATTTAGAACCGATAGTGCAATTGTTCTTAAGAAAATTGTCTCTCTTTGTCCACAACTAATTGAGTAGCATGTGGAAATGTTAAATTGCACTTATTCGTCCTAACGGAAACAACATCAAACCTTAAACTCCATGTCTCTTGTCTATCTCCTCTGGGGCCATTGCCAGCGCACCTCTAGCCACCATATATTTGCCGAACATATCTATACATAGTGCCATTGTCAATTATGTCATCGCCGGCCCCAACCATGGACATTACTGTGGAGCTAGTGCCCAAGTCTTACCAAAGGCGACAAACAATAACTTTTGTCTCCTTTGGGTTATAAGATTGCCTTGCTTAAAGATGACGAGAATCTAACTAGATCCACCGAAAGTTCTCTCGACATGCTTGCTCCTCCACGCGTTATTCTCATCCGCTGTAAACACGTACTCTACTGTCACATAAGGGGAAAAGTACCAAAAAAGTTATAAAACTATTACATTAATACTAATTCAATCTAAACTTTTTCATTGAACTAATCTAGTCCTAAACCTTTTGACATTTGTTAATGTAGTAATCCAGCCAATTCGACATTGACACCGGCCGTCCTATGTGGCATAATCGACGCTAACGTAGACAATTTTTTAACTTTTTTAAAAATTTTCTGAATTTTTATTGCTTTTTTCCCTTTTTTCCTTTTTTTCCTTTTTCTTTTCTTTCCTTCCTTTTTTTCCCAACTGTGGGCTGACGAGGTCACCGATCGACCATTGCCGACCACAAGTGAGGGCCAGCAACCCTCAATCGGTCTGGTCGCGGGCGTCGCAGCACTCACCGGCCACAGGCGAGGGCCTCCGCACCTTCGCCAGCCACAGGCGAAGGTGTTGGGCCCTCGCCCAGATCCAAGCGAGGGCATTAGGCCCTTGCTGGCCAAAGTTGTTAAAAAAATATTTAAAAATTCAAAACAAATATTAAAAAATTGTAACATTTGTCTACGTCAATGTCGGTCATGCTACGTACGACGTTGGACATCCACGTTAGCGATTTCCAGCCAAAATTGACCAGATAGACTATATTGACAAATTGTCGACAGGTTTAGGACTAAATTGGTTCATTGAAATATTTAGGACTGAATTGGTACCAATGCAATAGGTTTAAGATATTTTTGGTACTTTTCCCGTAACAAAAGACATAAGTTAAAATAATAAGATTTTTTTATCACTAATTATATATGCTTAAATATTAAACCAACTAAACAAGTAACGAAACAATATTTTAAAGTCAAAGGGTCAAAATAAGGACTTCATGGGCTGCAAAACATAACGGGTTTTTCTCCAAATAGGAGGGGACCCTACCCCAAACATGCAACGTTTTAACTAGCTGTTAGAACAACAATATGAAAATATAAGAATGTAAGATCAATTCGCAAATATGTATGGAAGAGAAAAGGAATGAAGATACAATTACTGAAAAAGAAAAGTTTGATCGTTAAGGAACTAAGAGTAACGCCACCAATTTACAATCTAATCAAATATATCATTATAAAGTTGGATATGCTCTCTTACAATTACGCCATTTGGCATGACACGTGTGCATATGAATCATGACGTCTCACCCAACTCCAATGACGTTGCGCCACGTGGATGATATTTGCCATGCCACTATATAGCCATTCATATTAACTTGAGATATTAACCTATGATGATTGCTTTTAACTTTGTAGCTGACCATTTTCAATTGCACAATGACCAATTAAATTTGGTAACATAACAGTAAGAAGTTTTTTTTGTTGAACTTTCTAACAATAATATTGACAACAAATTATGTCTCCATCAAATTGGTCGGTCCTTCCTTATTCTCAACACGGTCATATTGAAAACTATGAGTAACATAAAGGCGAGATGATAAGAATAGAGATGCTTTTTATTGATTTTTGTCAAATTTCTTTTTTATTTTGCGGGATCAGCATAAGTTTATGTTACCACGGAGAACAACGATGTGCATCACTTCTCAGGTACTAATAACGAAGAAAATACTGATTCGATGAAGAAACCTTTTTGATATCGGCAACATGGATATATTTACAAGGTTTATCTTTGCAATGGAATACTTTTATTTTTATCTAGATCAAATGCTATACATTCGTAGTTTTTATGAGGGTTAATACCACGAAAAACCCCAAACCGATACCCATGTGACAAATATACCCTAAACTAATTTTTTGATCACCAAAAACCCCAAACTGGTACACCTGTGATAAATTTATTCTCGGTTAGTTTCCGTTAAATTTTACAGTCAAATTGCTGAGTTTGATGACACGTGACAATTGAAGGGTGTACTAGTTTGAGATTTTACCCATCCGTTTGTTACAGGTTTATCAATTTGTGATTTTTCGTGATATTAATCCAATTTCACGGATGGTAAATTTATCATAAGTGTGTCAGTTTGGGGTTTTTTGTCGTAAAAAAATTAGTTTGGGGTAAATTTGTCACAGATATACCAATTTTGGATTTTTTTGATCAAAAAATTAGTTCGGGATAAATTTGTCACAGATGTACTAGTTTGGGATTTTTCGTAGTATTAACCATTTTTATGACAATTAAGCATCTGCTCTTGAATGGGGTAGTCAATATATAAGTGAAAGTGAACCGAGAAACGTGGGTTATCGAGATGATTCATCAATGATGTAATTATATTTATCTAGGTTTTTTTTTATATATGTCAAGCTATGTGGATCGGCATCATGAAAGGCTGAAAAAGTGCCCTTAAGAAATTGGGAAGAAAACGAACTCGAAGCTTCACGACAAGAGCATCGGATACATTGTGATTGATCTCGCATGGACGGGGAAGAAACATGAAAAGGCACAAGATATTTAGATTCCAACTGAGTAATAACTTCGACAAAACAAGAAAACATCAGAGTTGCTTGATACGAATGAAAAGATTATGGCAAACTCAAATTATCACTTGGTAAACTCATTTGACATGCGGGGATTTGGTGTGTCGGAGCATCACTCCGATCACAGACGAGCTTTAGATCTCATGGAAGGCGTCTCGGGCTCGCAAGTCGAGAACTGGACCAGCTTCTCGAAAGCGTGCATGGTCGAAAGTGGCAAACCCATCAACGTGACAATGCCCTTCCTCAGACTCCCTTCCGTCGTAAAAACACAAGCTGTCCTTGGCTGGTCACCGGTGCCAAAACACCTCGGCTTTCCCCATCCAAAGTCCGCGGAGCCATGATCGAACCCTTGCCATGAAGTAAACACTAGTGAGCTCAACGAGAAGAAGTCACATTCATACATGTCAAAAGAGTATGCACGACCGCACGTAGTCGTCATCCACCCTCTCGATAGCCTTCTTTATTCTCCCCACTGTGGAAGAGATCGGCTCAGCGACTAATTCTCCTGTGGTGCAGAGACAACAAGCTCCGACCCAAGCGTTCCCGAAGTACTTGGGAACTGGCGGTTTCAGCTTAGCCCTGCAGTCAACCAGAAGAAGAAGCTTCGACAGTTGGTGTGGTTTCATGTTGAGCGCCATGCTTCGAGCCCGCGACACTAGGGCTGGAAACGCCACAAAGCTGGAGCAGCTGCTCATTACCTGTTGTTCGGGGGAATCAAAACTGTTTTTCAATTCTTTTGTTCTTTCAAAATTCATAGCATCCCAATTTTACGAAGCCATAAATGCGTGATGAAAGAACTTCGGGTGATGATTGAAAGGTGACTCTAGAATTGTTGCGGAGAACAAGTGATTGAGCAATAAATTTAAAGAACAAGAAAATAAATTAAGCACCAGATTTACGTGGTTTCGTCAGTATAACTTACATCCGCAGGAAAAACAGCACGGAATCTTATTATAGAACAAGCGATACAACAGAGATTACAACCACATTCAAGTCACTCAAATATTTTTTGTATTTTCCAGCTTTCAATTACACCCAATAATTTACATAGTACTTAACCCAATAATTACTCACGAAATAATCTCTCAATCTCACATAGGAATTCACAAATCTTACCCATAAGATTTAATTGGCTTCAACACTACCGGATTACTTCAAAGTGTAATTCATGAAGAAGTCACCTCTTGCATGCTTTTCATAAAGAAAACACACTCTTACATAGAAGACAATTGAATCCAAAATAGGAAATCCCAGATTAGGAAACCAATTCAAATTATAAAACCACCCAAATAAGAAAGTTTCCTTTTTAGGCTTAAACTCAAGACATATCTTCAACAATCTTCGCCTTAATTCGACGTTTGAGCTAAGTCACAATCGTTTCGCTGGAACCGAACTTTGTTACTACTCTCTCACATAGCCCGTCATGGGCTCAATCACCATAAACATCTTCCAAGTCCAAGCCGCATTTGACCTTCGCCAAAATAGTGGACCTTATCATAATACCAACTCCTCTTGCACCTTTAACTACTTCACAGAATTCACAAACACAATCTCCTCTATTTTAAATAAAGCAAAATTATCGTTGCATCGAAATTTGTTAGGAGATGGAATATACATCTTGTGAAACTTAGCAGTTATAACAACTATTGGCTCTACAGGTTCCACCTCGCTACAAGCACTATATGTGTTGCTTGCTCTACTAGTACCAACTACTTCAAGAGTTTCTAGTTACAATTCCACCTTAAATTGAACACCATCCAAATCTGTATAAACACTGCCACAATCACTCCTACTCAAAAGTATTAGAGATTTGTCAAATGTAACTTCTCTGCCAACAACAAATGAATTTAATTTCGGACACCAAAACAAAAAATCCACTCACCTTGCGCATAGCTTAGGAATATGCACTTTCTTTCCCTCCCTTTGAGCTTATCATCAGTCGCTCGAACATAACACGGGCAACCAAATACTCTAAGAACAAAATAATCAACAACATTACTTGACCACACCCCTTCGAGAGTCCAATATCGAATTGCAGTCGATGGGGATATATTCATCAGGTAGCTTGCCGTATGAAGCACACTCGCCAAGAATTTCCTAGCCATACTAGCACTAGAGTACTTTATGAGCTGTATCTAGTTATGTTCTGCTCATAAACTCTGCGACCCATTGTGGTTTATTGGCACTAGTGTGGTGTCTCACTATACTTTCGTTCATGCACAATTCTTTTAAGGGTTAATATCATGAAAAACCTTAAACCGATACACGTGTGACAAATTTAACCCAAACCAATTTTTGACTACCAAAAATCCCAAACTAGTACACCTATGACAAATTAATCCCAAACTAATTTTTTGACCACAAAAAATCCCAAACTGATACATTTGTGATAAATTTACCCTCCATTAAATTGAATTAATACCACGAAAAATCACAAATTGTTACACCTATGACAAACGAAGGGTAAAACCCCGAACCGGTACACCCGTCAACTGCCATGTGTCATTTAACTCAGAAATTTGACGGTAAAATTTTACAGAAACTGACGAAGGGTAAATTTGTCATGGATATACCAGTTTGGGGTTTTTTGTGGTCAAAAAATTAGTTTGGGGTAAATTTGTCACAAGTATACTAGTTTGGGATTTTTCGTGGTATTAAACAGTGCTAAGCAGAACTCCATGCTACTGTCAGTTCGCACATGCTTGATCGTCTTATCGATCACCTTTTCAATCAAAGCTTTTAATTGCTTGATCTTGACAACAATATCAAACTTGTGTCTCAGCACAAATATCCAGGCCTCCTCGAGTAGTCATCCACAACGTTAGCATAAATATGACACTCTTTCTCGAAGAAAATCGTAATAGCTTGCGAACATCCAAGTGAATCAACTCTGCAACCTCCGTGGCTTTTCTGACAGCTGTACTAAACTGCACTTTCGATATAACTTGGCCTCCGCGGCCTCTCTAATTAATACTTGCAAGTTTCAACTACACCAAACAGATTATACCAATTTGACATAACTTGGCATACGTGAAATTTCAAAGAAATTGTTAGTCTGTGGAGCGAAAACGCGTTACTCAAAGCTCAAAACCCGATTACTTCTAGGGGGCAAGGTGAAGGAAGAAAGGAATCAGTATAGACAGAACACCAGGTTTCCATGATGCAGCCACATGCATCAAAGTTTGTGTTGGGATATTTCAAGCCGTTGAGGGTCATGCTCAGATGCAAAATTGGGAATGGTTAAGAATAAGAAATTACAGCCAACACCCCCCGTAGTTAGCCTTTCTTTTTCTTCAAATGTCTCTTCCCAGGAAAGATCGTTCCAGATCTGATAAAAGTCTAAGCTGGCCTTTCTTCTTCTGATCCTCTCGTCTGTGCAGAGTTGGCTTCTCAATTGCAGAAACCGGGTAAAGAGAGCAAATTCGAAGAGTGCGAAGTGGTTCATCAACGTAGTCGTTAGGTCTTTTTAGTATATATATGACTAGGTAAAGTGCTTTTTCTTCATAGACATGGACAAACAGGAATAGCACTTTTCCATCCCACCTTAGTATGCCGAAGGGAAGCAGTTGACAACGTTACGCTTGTGCGTGGCATAGATGATAGGTTGGTCCTACTCCTGCTGCCATTGTCTTATGAACGGAAGCAGTTGTTCCCAAAATCAAATGACTTTGACGGAACAGAGTGTGAGTTGATTAAGATCCTGAAAATCAAATGGCTAATAACTACATAAAGGGTCAAAAAAATATTCATGGGCTGGCCGAACAGTTGAATGTGCAACCTTCTGTGATTATCCTTCTCTTCCTCTTAGCCCTCCGGCTGTTTTGAAAAAATAAAATGGTGCGAGCACGCATGTGAGTGAGAGAGAGAGAGAGAGAGAGCGCATCAAGGCAAGCTCTAAGCTTTGACCATGCAAGCCAAATGATGGTGGTCATCTCTCAAGAGACGCAGAAGGCATTCTAGCCTGTGCTAGGACTCTCGTCGCATTTGGGTATGCCCCTGTCCAGATCAAACCTAAGAAAAGAAAAGCGGTCCAGCAAAATCGCACGATTTCAAGGGATAAATAACTTCAAGAAAGATGAAGCTCTATATAACCATTAAACCCATAGCATTTTATAAAAATAAGAAAACAGTCCCGAGCTCGATGACCATATCTTAAGTAGCAACTGACATTTACAGCATCCCTAGTGGGCTCCCTAGAGGGCCTAAAGCGAATAACAGAGTTTTTATGTTTGCCAAATCCTTCCAACCGATCACACTTACTAGGCAACCCCCTTGATATGCCCATCCGCCTCATATTCGTTTGTGAGAACCTGACCTTGATCAACATCCTTCCGGGGCCCATCAACCTCGTCAAAGAAATCCTCACGGGTGTTGTCCGCTAGCATAAGGGCAACAAGCCAGAAGAGAGCCGAATCGAGTGACAGAAATGCTCCACCACCGAATAGACCGGTCTTGGCCGTGGGGCATGTGTAGCTGAGGTTCTTGTGAACATTGTGCGCCTGGTGCAGTTGCTCAGTAATTGTCGGCCATAACAGCAGAGCCGCTGCCAACCCCCCCACGAACCTGTGTGGATTTGTAAAAATTGACCGTTATAAGGAATAGGCAATGAATTGAAACTGATAATATGAATGAATCTGTGAGCCCACTGGTTGACCAAATATCACTAGTAGATACGTTGCTACTTCTGAACAAAATACATGGGTTGACAGAAAGTAAATTTAGATCAATATTTGGAGTAAGGTCGTGTCAACTAACTTGGTGTTCAATTCATGTTTTAAGTATTCCATAGAGTAAAATCAGTCTTCAACAAGTGCCTATGCCTTTGCTACTTACAACACCCTTATGAGAGCCCCCAAAAATAAACAAAATCCTCATACTGATGGAACATTCACAAGTCATACGAAGCATTACATGTGAACACCAAAAATTGCAAGAAGTTGATAAAGAACTGGAATGGGGTAAATCACAAATCCGAGATTCAGACAGAGCGGGTCATAATTGTTCTTTTAAATGAAATTACATTTAAAACCAGCGGCAATAACATGGTAGTTTCGAACAGCAACTAGCCTCGACAGCAGAAGCATCTATAAGAGAAGGTAGCCGCTATAAGATATAGGAGGCAGATTTGTGCACCCTCATTTACAACTTCCCTCGCTTTCCTCGGCATGTCCTCAAATTACAGAATAAGGGTCAGTGTGCACAATGAAATCCACTTCCGAGTTAAAGGTTTTCACTCTGCAGGTGTTATCCTATCCCAGTACTATTGTGTCCCGGTTTCAATCAAAGTGGTTCTATTAAGAAACATTAAAAAGAACAGGCAGGCAAATTATACTGGAAAAAGTTACTTACAAGGCAATGTTGAAGAAGACGACGAAGCTAGTATTCTGGAAAAAAGCTGATTGAGGGACGGACCTTCCCTTGTACGGGTAAAACAGAGACCAGTAGCCCGCCACGGTGCACAACACAAGGAATGCAAAGGACAGATACCCAAGAGCAACGGTAGGGTCAGATGGATACTTGCAAATTACAACATCTTTACCGGTAATCACAGTTCCAGCTGCAGGCTGTGGATAGATAGACGACAAGAAGCATAGATAAAAATTAGAAAGAAAAAAAAAAGGAAAGTGAATTGACGTATGAATTCCAGGCAAAAGTTTAAAACTGTGGATGCGGAGATTATAAGATGTCTGAGAGCTATTACTTCCTTCTTGACGTAAAACATCCTTTCAGATACCAAGCAGACTGGATAAAAACAAACACATACCCCCTATATCTCTATCAAATTAAGACAAGGAAAAATCTTATGATTGCAACCAATCTTATCGCAATAATTTATACTAAAGTACCTATTTAAATTAGGACAACAAAAAACCAAATTAATATAACAGTAGTGGGAAATAGGAATCTAAAAAGAAGATAAAATGATAAACCAATGTCCACCAAGAACAGGACAAAATCAACAATGTCGAGAACTATGAACATGACAATGTCATAAAGACGGAGACAAAAAAACACATCAACCTTTATTCATAGTGCAAAATCTGGAAAATTCATATCTCTGAACTTAAACATAATCGAAAACACGGAAGGTAAATACATCCAGAACCTCAAACTGACAAGATAAGCTACCATTCAAGCAGCATAAAATTACTCTAACGACAGATAGATGGGGTAATGAGTTGGTTGGTCCTCGAAATTTACTTCAATATTCAATGTGGTCCTTGAAATTCTTTTTTGCTCAATCTATTCCCTAAACTTTCAAAAATCAGTTTAATGCAGTCATTCCATTAAGTATATCGCCACGTCATGTGCAGTTTTTTTACGTGGACTGCCATGTTATCTTTTATTAAGCCAAAATAATGACGTGAACTGCCACGTCTCCCCAAATTAACAAATCTTCCTTATTTCCTTTCTCTTTGGCCAAAATTAGTGAGAGAGATATGACACAAAAACCAGATGTAAACCACATAGACACCAGCATGGCAATCAAGTTCAGAAAAATCACAGCCACATTAGAAAACGGTAGAATTTAATGGAAGGACTTCATTGATTGTGTTTTAGAAAGTTCAAGGACTAGATTGAAAGCAAAAAAGTTCAAGACTATATCGAACATTGAAGAAAAGTTCAAGAACCATCCATGTTATTTTCCCCAGACATAAACAATTCAAGGGAAACAAAAAATCAATCAGATGCTGGATGAATCACCTTCTTATTCTCAGCAATCACTCCCAAGATGAAGGACAGAACACCGAAAGTGGCCACAATCAGGGCCATCTGCTTCACCGAAACAGCCATTCTGCTGCAACAGAACTGCAACATTAGTAAACGAATACCACCAACTAATCTATCTCGCTCACGGGAAAAGATTGAGGAACAAATTGCAAAAGATCTCGCACACTAGTCACCGTGAGGTGACAGATTTTGATTGGGCTTCACTTTCGACTCAGTCCGGCGCGCAAAATCCATCCCAGACAGCATAATGAGAAAAAAGAAAAGATTTTGATAGGATTTCAAAACCCAAAAACGAAAAAACTTCCATAATTCAGCAAACCCATCATCCATTTCTCAGAGGAAAAACTTGGATCGATCAATTGAAAACAAACAAACGAAACAAAACAAAACAAAGAACCGACCCAAAATCTGAACAAAAGAAAAAAATACAACCAACCCAACAAGGAACAAGACCCATCTCCAAATTCCCAGAATTCACGAAACCGACAAGAAATCCAAGCACAATTCGACAGCCTCGTAGGATCAACAAGCACAAATTTGAACCAAAACAGTCCGAATCAAATGAAGAAAAAAACAACAAAAGAAAGAACCATCGAAAGAGCACCAACAACTCACCTCGAAACTGTGACTCGGATGGATTGATTCCACACGCAACGCCACAGGTTCAAGACTCAACGAGAGCGAGAGAGAGAGTATGAACAACTCGGGTGAGTCAAAAGTCGGAATCCCCGGCTAAATGATCTGAAGATTACGTTAGGTGGGTAGGAATTGACGTAAATGTCCTTGAGCTAGGAGCGCGAGCATTCACGGGATCGAGGGTAGATTCAGGCGTTCGCCGAGGGGCAAATGTGTAAAAAGGATTGGGCCAACTGGAATCTCTTCAGATACTACCAAATCACAAATCCTAATTTTCCCTCGGTGATAATCTTCCTTTTCAAGGTTTATAATCCCAATCTTCTTATATAATGACGGTGAGGAAGTTACAAAGTTACCCCCGAAATTACCCTTTGCTTATTGAAATAAATTTACCAACCACGATCGCTTATATAGAGATAGATCGGAGTTCACGTGAATAATTGAAATTCTACGTGAGGCCGTATATCTTTATTGATCATAATCGAATTAAAATTCAGGGCGACGGTGTGCGATACCATTACAATTTCTTCCATAATGATTTCCCGAAGATAGAGAAAAGAAAAAGGATTTTATTAGAGGTACATAAACAAAGGACAGAATCGTAATTCCAGAAGTAAAACGAATCTTATCACTTTCGATTAAATTCTTTATGTGTTCCCGACTTAAAATTAAGTAGTTCTTATTGGTAAGTCGGGACTATTTTGTTTCACGTGAATTTAAACTAGTTCTTTACGCAAGCGTTGCGCACAACGACGTAATATTGTAAATTCTATATGTTATATCTAAAACTTCATATTAGAAACTTATGTAATTACTTTAGCCACTGATAAAAATGTAAGATATAATGGTGGTTCTGCAGAGAAAAAAGCGGGCGGTTGCCCGGTAAATCGGTACTGCAACTGCAAGGGTAATAGTCTAAATGAAAAGGGGGGAGGCAAAACGCATTTGTGGCTAGATTCATCTCTCCAATTTGAACAAAATTTTGGAGATTCAATTTATTTTTTGGGTAATCTTTTTTTTTTGTAAGTATGAACAGAAGATTGACCCTGTCCACAGCTTGAGTGCTATACTGTGCTGTGCTGTGCTGTGCTCTACATTTGGTTAAAGGCAAAATTAGCCATTGTAGAAATTTATGGCAAAGAAGATATGTAATTTCCCCTTCTGCAAAAATCGACCAAATTAAGGTTAGAAATGGATTGATAATACATCAAATGTATAAGTGCAGAGATAATGCCATAAAATGAAATGGAAAGTAGGATCAAGAGGTTTCTTCGAATTAAGCATCAGATAATTGAAATCAAAATTTCTTTTCAAAGATAGAAACAGACCTGCCAGCAGCCAAGTACTTTGTCCTCCCTTTTTTTTCCATTTTTGGGGTTGGGAAAAAGGTGAAAAAGCAGTCCTTGTCCTTGATGTGCATCTTATTAATTCAAAATTATATGAGATTTTTTATTAGTGAAATAAATTAGGCGTAAATCCAAAGACGTCGATGAATGATAAGTTCAAAAAGTTGACGTTGCGATCAAGTTAACTAAAGAGTCTCCTCCCTTATTAATTTTGTCTGCTGATGTTTGGCATTGTCAAAATTGATTGGGATGGTCCTAATATTTTTCTTCTGCCAATTCCTGATTGAGTACCGTTTCGGCAAAAACTATATAGAGATTACTAAGTTTATCGACATGTACCAAGTTCGATGAGGATGGAGGGCAATCACGAGGGTAAGAGGGTTTGGACAAGGAGCGGATCCCGACTTTTAGGATGACAAATGAGATAAGAATAAGTCGAATTGAATATCAAACGGGTGAGAACATTTCGCAATTATATATGTGAAACTTGAATTAACTTAAAAGACGTGCCTTTTGACGCAACCACTCATTGTAACTCTAATATTATGCGTGCTCACCAGAACGGGTGATAAAACTGTAAAACTCGGTATGAGATAGGTCAAAGCAGACAATATCTCAAGTGAGTTATCAAATAACCCATAAAAGAAATTACTTGCTTTACTTGAAAAGTGCCGGTCACAGCAACCGGTGTGTTTGCTTTCAAGCACAAAGAAGCAGAATGTGTTACCCGGTACGATACTAATCAGTACCAATGATCCCTAAGGCAGCTTCTGTTTTCATCTTTTGTCTGCGGCATAAGGTTCTCTTCTTATGTCTTGTATTAAAACCAGCCTTGTGTCTACTATCTTGGATGGTTGCTACGGTACTCATATGATATTTCTCAGTCCCGTCCCATGGCGGCTGCATCCGGAGGGTTAACTTAAACATTTGGAGGAGTTGACACGCAATCTCAAGTTTTTGCTTGACGATTCGTGAATGGATCATCAAGAAGAGAGGAAGAAGCTTGATCGCATGCCTGAAACTTTCTTGGATGGATGTTGGATGCTGCTGTTTTATCTGATTCAGAATAGGATCTTCTTCGTGATCCTGTCCTTTTTCAGTTACCATTTTAATTACAATCACTTGAAGCTGCATACGAGAGAGTCAGGACGGCAAACGGTCATCCAGTTAAAGCCGGACAGATAAGAGCTAGGACGGCAAAAAATTCTATGTTTAATGCTTTTGTACTATCTGACAATTCAGCAACAGATGACGACAGAGCAAAATGGAATGACCCCAGAATAAAAGAAAGATACCATCTTGTCGGGTGGCTAATCAAGATAGTTTCGCAAGTTTATACCGCCGATCAATTTTTTCCGCAGCCACTACTCCGATGAGAATGTTGTCTTGGAAAGCTGCTAAAGAGAGGATATTGGATTTAACAGCATTTCCTCATTGACAACTTTTTTACAATGTTGACATATCCTAGTTGTACATATATCTGACACAGAAGGATTAAAAGGTCAAAAAGAATGTCTTTTTCGGACGATTCAAATCGACTTGAACCACCTATGCTTGAGAAATTGCCCGCCGAAGATGCTCGAGTGTTTTCTGATAGTTCAAGAATCCCATGAACCAGAAATCGAAATTATCTACAGTTACAATCTGTATGTACTTCTGCGATGGCTTCTCCACGTTCTCTGTCTCATTTGCCATCTTTATCTTTCTAATGGGGATCATCACCTGGAATAGATATTCAAAAAGGCGATTACAATGCGATTCAACATAGCAACAGAGACTGGCAAATAGATTATTGACAGAAATATAGTGATTTTACAACATGAGCGAATTTACCTTGTAATGGACTTTGGTTGTTTCTCCATCCGGAGAAACCAGTTTTATACATCTCTCGCTGCAAAAGGCCACTCTCTCGGTGGAGATAAAGAGGAGACCTCCTATAGGACCGATTGAAGTCGACAAATAGCATTGGAAGGTCTTCATTAGCCTTTCGCCATCTCCGACATTAAATAAGTCCATGAACACCTTATCCATTCCTCCAAGTTGAAGAACTCTCGCGCCCATTCTCAACTTTCCTTTCACTGTTTTCGTAATCTCGGGACTCAGTCTCACTGCAGTTCCGCAACAAAACTATGTGAAAAGCAGTTTAGCACATATGTCATATGAACATTTTTCCACTAAATTAACCTCAAAAGATGTAATGTTTATTGATCCTCCAAAATAAAGGGCCTTGAATTCTAGAAGCACCTATACCTATTACGTGAATACCCAAAATTGTGGTCATAAGAAAAGAATTGTTAGTACCATGTTCTCGAACGCCATGTGCAAGAATATCTGCTTTCTTCCCAAGCTTGTTCATCCTATGAAGCACCAAATTCACCTTATCTGCAATGTCGGAACCAGACAGGTCAGAGTTCAGATCGATGCTTCGAATTAAATGAATGTTGGAAAAGGACAGCTGCTTTGATATGAGCACCCACTTTTTTTCAACTTTCGGGATGATCCATCGAATGGACAGAACATTTCATTGCATTGATAAGAATTCTCCGATGAAGGTGCCTCTAAGGACAGGAAAGGAACTCCAATTACATGACCCTGGAGTTGGTTTTTCATATTTGATGGTCTGATGATAAACTGTGTAGTATCTCTCAAAAGGTGTTGGAAACAAGGAAGAAGAGCTTACCCAGTATGATCAATCCTCTGAGTCCTGGGAATGTATTTAAAGGGATAATGTCCAAGGGAAATGCTGAATCCTGACACTGTTTCAATTTAGTGTCGTGTGAGTCAGGAACGGATCAGCAAGGAATAAAGGAGCAGAAGAGGACGCGTAAAAGAAGCTTTCTAAGATGGCTGATGTGTCATCGCTTTTTGAAAAAAAAATGCACTGTGATTGATTCATGATCACATCCTTTTGTGCATTCTTTAGAATTTTCTGATACTAAAAAGTGGATTCCTGATGTAGGTTCTGGTTTGTTTTGCCCCACAGACAACTGTGAGGATAATATTAGACTAAGCAACCGTCCGAGCAATTAGGAATTTTGACAAAAAATTGGAATCTGCACGACCCAAAAAAAAAACTTCTTCGTATCAATCGCCAATCATTATGGATCGATTGCATACACTGAAAGGATAATATAATACTGCATATGTATTAGCTGTAATAATTGGAGAATTGACTGTTATATTCTGTGTTGAAATGTGCTGCTCATGTTTAATAAGTTGTTTACATCCTTACTGGCCCTTCATTTGTGGGTAGGTTCTTGACACTGTCCCCTCCTTGCTGCACTAAGATTTTTCTATTGAAGGGTTGATTTCTTTATGTTTTTATGTCCAGTTTGTAATTTAGGACAGATTATTTGGATTAGATATCACATTTGAACTTGGTCCTTGGACAAATTGCTTCTCTTTTGCTTCTTGGTCCTTGGGCTAATTGGTCCAGAGATTCTTTTCCAAAATCAATGTCTTTAATAAGAAGTAACAAGACCGCTGACCGAAGAAAGTCAAAAGTTAGCTAATCGATCGACCTCAATTAAAAAAAATAAAGAAAAAAGAAAGAGCAAAAGAACAAAGGGAGAATCATCACAAAGGAAAAGTTTTGAATAGGTTGAAGTGCAATTTGTTTGTGGAACTGAATCTTCATGGCAAAGCTTTTGCCCTCTTCCTTAGCTGTACATGAGTGTGCAAAAAGCCAAAGGCCATTCACAGATAAAAGTTGCTTCTCCTGCTTTTTCTATTCCAGATCTCAGAGTCCCATCAGGATGCAGGATCTAAATGTTTGTGGGAAAGACTAGG